AGAAAAACAAAGAAAATCCTTGGATTTCCTTTGAAGATTACGAAGGAACCTGATGCCAGTTATCACAAATCCACTGCATTCACCACTGACTGGAACAATACACAAATAACCCACACATGGGGGCACTTAGAAGTTTTGGTCCAACTTTGACCATTAGCTAGTTAATAGTCCAAGTTGAACCCACTACTGCTGATGCCAGAAATCTTGGGTAGTAGTGAATACCATACAGTAGTGGCCTGGTATTCCTGGGTGATATCTTCCAAGAACTACCGTGGATGTCCGAAACCACGGATAGTTGCAAACTCTAAATATAATTCTTTTTCATTTACATACATATATATAACAAAGTTTAATTGATAACTTATGCACAATAAGTAGGGAATTAGCACTTGGGAAGCACTTCACAGCTTCTCTTAGGCTTTGAACAACTTTCACCATCACTACTTTTGCACTTTAAGGCCATTATTAAGCAAAATTTAGGCTTATTTTCAGGACAGGGTAAGCTATGGATAACTGAAACCACAAAAAACTGGATCTGTGGATACAGGGGCTTCACTGTACAATAGCAAGACTTATACGTCCCAGATTTTCATTCTGGGGATTACAATGGGTTTAGAAACACCTGTCATGTGTGTACCAGGGTAACGAAGAGAACCGTCAGTCTGACAGCCTTCTAAACACGTATACAGGTGCTCCTCACTTAACGACCTACCTGTTCAACCCTTAAACTGTCCAAACAAATTTACGTTCACATGCGTAGTGCTCCAAAGGTAGATCTACGTTTTTTTACACATTTTCAAAAAAACACAAAAAAAAAGTAGATCAAAGTTTTTTTTTACACGTTTTCAAATGTAAAAAAAAGATCTAATTTTTTTACATACTTTCAAATGTTGAAAAAACGTAGATCTACGTTTGGACAGTTTAAGGGTTAATAACCACTTGGATTTATGACCAGCTCTCCAACCAGTATGCAAACCTAAGTAATGTATATTAGAGATGATTTCCTCTATTCTGTTTATTACAATATACAGTACACTACTGTATAAACATTTAAAAATACAGTGGACCCCCGCATAACGATCACCTCCGAATGCGACCAATTACGTAAGTGTATTTATGCAAGTGCGTTTGTACGTGTATGTTTGGGGGTCTGAAATGGACTAATCTACTTCACAATATTTCTTATGGGAACAAATTCGGTCAGTACTGGCACCTGAACATACTTCTGGAATGAAAAAATATCGTTAACCGGGGGTCCACTGTATACTAAAAATGTTATAAATGGTGCAAAAGTGACATTAAAACAATATCAAAAGACAGTTGACACAAACCCACTACAAGTACAGTATATATGCTCCTCACTTAATGACCAATTCACTTACCAACCTCCTCTTATACAGTGGACCCCCGCATAACGATTACCTCCGAATGCGACCAATTATGTAAGTGTATTTATGTAAGTGCGTTTGTACGTGTATGTTTGGGGGTCTGAAATGGACTAATCTACTTCACAATATTTCTTATGGGAACAAATTCGGTCAGTACTGGCACCTGAACATACTTCTGGAGTGAAAAAATATCGTTAACCGGGGGTCCACTGTATTAATAATAATTTTATTTTAGAATGATACATGTTTGTACAAAGGAGTATAACAATTGGGTGTACAATGTCAAAAACCCCTTTATATGCAGAGCATTTCAGGCAAACTTAAGACTAACTTAAGAGTAATAAGGCAATAACAGTGCAGTAATTGTATATATGGTCACTAGGCGAGTCAGAATGAACACAAGAGAACGCAACTCAGTCATTAACTGAGGAGTACCCGTACATGCTGCCCAAACACATTTCCTATTGTAAACTGAATTATAATTTTTTTGCTATCTTTCTACTACAAATTTTTCTAAATTGCAATTTCTTACCTCATTTTTTTAATAATACATAATTAAAACTGACCGTTCTATAACCCATGTCTTGTTAATAGCAGTCTACATTAGCATAAGCGAAACTCCAGTTTCACTTATCCGCAGTTTACTGAGGCCCGAAAATAACCTTTAATTTTTAAAATGTAATTTTTAAAAATTACATTTAAAAATTACATTCCAAAAATACAGTGGACCCCCGATTAACGATATTTTTTCATTCCAGAAGTATTTTCAGGTGCCAGTACTGACCGAATTTGTTCCCATAAGGAATATTGTGAAGTAGATTAGTCCATTTCAGACACCCAAACATACACGTACAAACGCACTTATATAAATACACTTACATAATTGGTCACATTAGGAGGTGATCGTTAAGCGGGGGTCCACTGTACCTTTAAAAATTACAGTGGTACCACGAGATTTGAAACCCTTCAACTCGAACAATTATGTAAGTGTATTATTGTAAGTGCTTTTGTAAGTGTATTTTTGGCGGTCTGACACCGACTAACCTAACTTACATTATTTCTTGTGGGAACAAATTCGTCCAGTATCGGCACTTGAACAGTCTTCTGGAACAAATTAAGTTCGAAACTCGAGGTACCACTGTACATTCCAAAATTACCTTTAAAAATTACATTCTAAAATTACCTTTAAAAGTACATTTTAAAATTACCTTTAAAAATTACCTTTCAAAATTACTTGTAAAAATTATATTTCAAAATTACCTTTCAAAATAACATTTTTAAATTACCTTTAAAAATTATCTTTAAAATTACTTTTAAACATTACCTTTCAAAATTACTTGTAAAAATTACATTTCAAAACTACCTTTAAAATTACCTTTAGAAATTACTTGTAAAAAATAAATTTTAAAATTTTAAAAATTAAATTTTTAAATTTTAAAATTTTAAAATTATATTTAAAAATTACTTTTAAAAATTACATTTTAAAATAACTTCTAAAAATTATATTTTAAAATAACTTTTAAAAAATACTTTTAAAAATTATAAAATTCTAAAAATTACCTTTAAAAATTACTTCTAAAAAATTACATTTCAAAATTACTTTTAAAAAATTACTTTTTAAAATTACCTTTAAAATATATTTTTTATAATACCTTTAAAAATTACTTTTAAAATAACATAAGAGTGTACAATAAAACACATAAAAGAGGGGTAACTAACATAATATATAAAAGGGGTAACTAAAGTAATAAACACACACACAAGAGGGGCAACTAAGGTAATAAACATTTACAAGGGTAACTAAAGTAAATATTGCTGAGAGTGGAGCAAGTATTGAAGACGTAACACACAAGAGGGGTAACTAATGTAATATAACACCCAAGATGGGTAACTAAGGTAATATAACACACAAGATGGGTAACTAAGGTAATATAACACACAAGATGGGTAACTAAGGTAATATAACACACAAGATGGGTAACTAATGTAATATAACACCCAAGATGGGTAACTAAGGTAATATAACACACAAGATGGGTAACTAAGGTAATATAACACATAAGATGGGTAACTAAGGTAATATAACACACACAAGAAGGGTAAATAAGGTAATATAACACACAAGAGGGGTAACTAAGGTAATATAACACACAAGATGGGTAACTAAGGTAATATAACACACAAGATGGGTAACTAAGGTAATATAACACACACAAGATGGGTAACTAAGGTAATATAACACACAAGGGGGTAACTAAGATAATATAACACACACAAGATGGGTAACTAAGGTAATATAACACACAATAGGGGTAACTAAGGTAATATAGCACACACAAGATGGGTAACTAAGGTAATACAGTATAACACAAGATGGGTAACTAAGGTAATATAACACACAAGAGGGGTAACTAAGGTAATACAGTGGACCCCCGCTTAACGATCACCTCCTAATGTGACCAATTATGTAAGTGTATTTATATAAGTGCGTTTGTACGTGTATGTTTGGGGGTCTGAAATGGACTAATCTACTTCACAATATTCCTTATGGGAACAAATTCGGTCAGTACTGGCACCTGAACATACTTCTGGAATGAAAAAATATTGTTAATCGGGGGTCCACTGTATAACACACAAGATGGGTAACTAAGGTAATATAACACAAGATGGGTAACTAAGGTAATATAACACAAGATGGGTAACTAAGGTAATATAACACACACTAGATGGGTAACTAAGGTAATATAACACACACTAGATGGGTAACTAAGGTAATATAACACACACTAGATGGGTAACTAAGGTAATATAACATACACAAGATGGGTAACTAAGGTAATATAACACACAAGATGGGTAACTAAGGTAATATAACACACAAGATGGGTAACTAAGGTAATATAACACACACTAGATGGGTAACTAAGGTAATATAACACACACAAGATGGGTAACTAGGTAATATAACACACAAGAAGGGTAACTAAGGTAATATAACACACAATATGGGTAGCTAAGGTAATATAACACACAAGAGGGGTAACTAAGGTAATATAACACATAAGATGGGTAACTAGGGTAATATAACACACACAAGATGGGTAACTAAGGTAATAACACAAGAGGGGTAACAAAGGTAATATAACACACTAGAGGGTAACTAAGGTAATAACACACACACACAAGAGGGGTAACTAAGGTAATGTAACACACAAGAGGGGTAACTAAGGTAATAACACACACACGAGGGGCAACTATTGCAATATAACACACAAGAGGGGTAACTAGGGTAATAACACAAGAGGGGTCACTAAGGTAATAACACACACAAGAGTGGTAACTAAGGTAATATAACACACATAAGAGGGGTAACTAAGGTAATAATAGTGTGCAAAAGGGGTAACTAAGGCAATATAACATGCACAAGAGGAGTAACTAAGGTAATAATGTGTGCAAAAGGGGTAACTAAGGCAATATAACACACACAAGAGGGGTAACTTAGGCAATAATATGTACACGAGGGGTAACTTAGGCAATAATACATACAAGAGGGGTAACTAAAGTAAACATCGCTCAGAGTGGAGCAAGGGTTGAAGATATAACACAACTCACTGAGCGGTTGCGGGCAGATGTGGGGTTCAAATGTCCATAAGGATACCCACACTTTTGAGCCTTGGCAGTGTTGCTGTGGGTACAGTGACGCAGTGATGTCCTCAGTGTCTGTGGTTCAAGACCCGGTTGACTCTCCCTTGCCATCTGTGGGGTACAGCAAGCCTGGGTCAGTGGATAGAGATTCAACTTGAAGTGTGTTAGGGTTGTGGAGAATTGATGGGGAGGTGAGGGACTGATCCCCTCAAACAACTTCAATCATCTCTAAAATATTCAAGACTGAGGGACTGACCCCTGTAACTATGTACTGCACTTCTAAAAGGTGCTCCTCGACTTACAATGTTATTACATTTTGACTAACCCTTTTAAGTTGAAAATATCGTAAGTTTTTAAAAGGCCCAAGAAAACTAGAATACAAACAAAAAATCCTACGAAAATCAGTAAAAAAGTCGCTGTTTTATTCCAAAAAAAAGGTTCAAAGTTTTTTTTTTTCTCATTATGCACTGTGTGCACACTGACCACATAGACCCATTCTTTCATATGGAGGCCTACCAGCTTTCTCCCACTAGATTTGAGGGCGTTAGAATTTAAGCATACTAGTACGTCAAAAACCCTGGGTCGTAAGCCGTACTAGTACGTCCGAAACCCTCAAAGGGTTAAGGGTTAAAGGTCAAGCAGGAAGCATCTGTAATGGACAAAATTTGCTGGTTAAACTGTGCTTCTGATACCTTAACCCTTTGAGGTCCCAGACCCTTGATCAGAGACTTGTCCATACGGCCCAAAAATTAAAAAAAAAAAAAAAAAAAAAAAAAGTCACTTTTTCTTATGAAATGGTAGAGAATCTTTTTTTCTGAAGGTAACAAAACAAAAAGTATGAAATTTAAAAGAAAAACTGACAATTACGAATTTTGCTGTGTCAGCAATATTTATGTGATTCTGCCCACTTTGATGCCTATTTTAGGCCAATTACACTGTTCCAGTTGACCAAATTCTTAGTTATTTTGCAAGTATGTCTTCCATTTTAGCAAATGAGCACAAGAAACTGCCCAGTCAACTATTTCAGTTACCCAATAAAGTGATCAGAAAATGATAATTTGGCCAATTTTCCACAAATTTCAAAATATTCTCATTTCAAAATAGGGTTCAGAATAAACAATGCCGGCATTCCTGGCACTAAAATAACATTTCCTCTCTTCATTAGTTACATTTCCAGGATTTACACAAATTCCATTTTGATTTTTTATTCACACAAAAAATAGAAGATTTACTGTTATGCAATATTGTAATAATTGTATAAACAATATCAGCGCATTCATGAACACATATTGGATTCACCAGTTGACATGTATCGGACATGTGATGTGATTTGTTTACTCTTGAACATCAGCAAAAATTGAATATTTCTGCTACTTAGAGCTCAATTTCAATCTATTTTCAGTCCTAAAACCAGTCAAAATTATCTCTATTTCTGTAGTTTCCATTCTATCAAACGAGACCAAGAAACCATGAATATAACCATAAAAACTATATGAAAATAAACTGCAAAGTTGCCGTTTTAAACCAAAAACACGGCTGCAGTTTTTTCTTGTTATGCACTGCGTGGGGCAGGAATTTTTTTATATGGTGCACACTTACGACATAGACCCATTCTCTCATATCAAGGCCCAAATTTACCCCTGACACCTTATCTGAGTGAGCTGAGCTCACTCAGATAAAGTGGTTAATGTACAAGTGGTTAATGTACAGTATTTCTTGTAATATACAAGTACAGTACTCCTTAACTTATAAATGTTCAACTTTATGATGGTTCAACTTTATGATGGTTCAACTTTATGATGGTTCAACTTTATGATGGTTCAACTTTATGATGGTTCAACTTTATGATGGTTCAACTTTATGATGGGTCAACTTTATGATGGTTCAACCTTATGATGGTTCAACTTTACAATGGTTCAACTTTACAATGGTTCAACTTTACAATGGTTCAACTTTACAGTGGTTCAACTTTACAATGGTTCAACTTTACAATGGTTCAACTTTACAATGGTTCAACTTTACAATGGTTCAACTTTACAATGGTTCAACTTCACAATGGTTCAACTTCACAATGGTTCAACTTTACAATGGTTCAACTTATATTTCAACTTTAAAATGGTGCATCAGCAATAACTTTGGAGATGAAACTTAAGATAATTAGCAGCATGAAGGCTGCAAGTCCTTAACTTGTATTCACTTGTTGACTTTTCAATACTGGTATGTATTTAGTTAGTTACACTAATTAGTTATTTACTAATTCACTGATGCTAGTTATTTGTTCAACTTACGATATTCTCGACTTGACGATTCTCAACTTAAAAATTGTAATGCCACAACTGCAGCCCAATCGTGTTGTGATTTTGAGTCGCGATGGCGGCTTTGAGGGGCCTTGGGCTAGAGCACAACACAGTCACACTGGTGTGGGATTCATCTGTGAAAATGTGGTGTATAGAAATACACAATACTAACTTCTCTATATTGTATAGAAATGCACAATATTACCCTTCCTATGGTGTATAGAAATGCACATAACTGTATGAATCGTATTACAGGTAGCTGGTCCAATTGTTAGCACACTAGCCATGGATTCAAACCCTTACCCATTCCCAGGCTTAATATCACCAGTGTATTGTATGAGTTTTCGACATCGGTCCGATTGACGGAGGCTCGGACAGTCAATTTCCACCCATCAGATGGGCTAAATTGCAATTGAAGAAACGAAAATGAATGGCATAAAGTATCACAGGAGAGTTGAATGTGGTACAGTTGATCATCAACTGGTCATCAATCAACTGGATCTGGCTCTTGTTTGATCCACTGCCTAAGCAGACACAGTTCAAAGGAATGATCATCTATAGAGGGCCATATAAACAGGTAATATTCAACTGCTGGAAATAAAGTGGACCCTCCCACCACCTCCACTTGATTGATCAATCCGCTGTATGTCCTGAAAATTGAATAAAAAATGGATATTACTGATGGTGTGCAATGCTGACAGATTGAATTTTGTAATACAGCCTCTCCTCATTTAATGAGAGAGTTCCGTTCCTATGACCATGTCGTTAAGGGTAGATTCAGGGTTCCCGCGCGCGGAGCAAAAAAAATCGAAAATATATGAAAAATGAGTTATTGTTACCAAAAAATAGCTGAACTTTCTGGCTACACGCTGGTATAATTATTATCCTTGTACGATGTTTCTAAAAGGAATTACAGCCATTTATAACAGGCATGGTGACAGCGCTGATGCAACATATTGCGTAAGAAGCGCTGACTCGGCTTTGTTGACGTTTTTGTTACATTTTTCCCCGTGTTATTTTTATCGTTTTCGTATATCTTTATGTCTAATATAATACAAATTCACCATCTGAGATCATTCCCGAGTGGGCGGAGCTAATATGGTCACGGCACCAATCGGGAACCCCTGGGAATAGTGCACAAAAATGGCCGACACCTCCAGCCAAACAAAATATTCCATACCCACGCTAATATCAATTATAAGGCTTATTTATCTATCACAATTGATCTATTATGATATAATGCAATATAATAATAGCATATAAACATAAAAAGTACACCTTAAAAAAAAATATATAGCATAATATGACGCCCCAAGGAAAAAATTTCTATCGATATTTCCCCTGAAGGTGAAGAGAGGGTCCGATCTCTCTCATCAGTGATGAGAGAAAACGGATTTACAATGGTTAACTGTAATAAACACTCGTAGGTCGCGCAAAAAGTGTAAAATAAAGCGAATTTTTCGGGAGAAAAAATTATTTCCCGGGCAGCGGGGGCCGCGTGCTTCGGCCTATATCTCGAAAGTAACTTATTTACCTATTTATGGGAAGATCACCTTTATTTATGATTGAATTGACTTGATTTCTCACAACAAACATAGGAGAATGATTGCTTTACGAGGTAGCGATCGTGTTTCCGAACTATCCAAAATATTTTTAGATTTATGTGAACAACAAGGCCGACATCTTCCAATATATCAAAAAAGTTATGAAACTTTATTTTTTTTTAGCATGAAGATAAGGTTTATTTTAGAATTGAAATCGACATTTGATGGAATTAGAGGTGTTCTATCAGCAGCAAGTGTCAACACCACTTTTCCAAGTACCACTGAGAAGGACTCCCCTGCCAAATGTAATTTTTCGTAAATTTTGCATATTTCATTTCCTTTTTGGCCGATATGATTAAAACTTCAGCAAAGGCTCTTTAATATAAGCTTCTAATAGTACACCAAAAATGAACGTAATCGGTTCATAAAAAAAATGTCGTTAAAATGCGGACCGCTGCCGTCCTTAAACGAATTCATCACTAAGCGAGGAGCATACTATAATGGTAGTGAATTTGTGTCAACCATCATTGATATTGTTTTAATGTCACCTTTGCATCATTTATAACATTTCTGGTATATTCTTAAATGTTTATACAGTAGTGTACTGTATACTGAAATAAACAGAACAGAGGAAATCAGTTCTAATATACATGTACATTATTTAGGTATAAATACTGATCAGAGAGCCCGTCGTAAGTCCGAGGCGCCGGTAAACGAGTATGGTGCTAAATGAAGAGAGGCTGTATCTGCGTTTCCTTAACCAGTGGCTTCAACAGTCCGATACTGACAGTGGAAGATAAGGTTATCAGTCCCCCAGATACTTACTGACTGCTAGGTGAGCACTGACAGCAGGTGTAAGGTAACTAACACCCAGATACCTACTTACTTTTTAAGTGAACAGGGACAGCAGGTGTCTTAAGGAAACACATCCTAATGTTTTCACCCGTACCAGGTGCATACACACAAATTTAGACTCAGACGCTATATTTCAGCATGACACAATGTTTGAACACAGGTGAATGGCATCTGGTGTGTGCATGCAGAAAGTCCCTTAATATGTAAAGTATTTCAGACAAACTTAACCCTCTCTTAAAACTAATAAGGCAATAACTGCCTAAGAGTTGATTGGTAACCGAACTGGTCGTTAAGTGAGGAGCATACTATACTGGTAGTGGGTTTGTGTCAACCATCTTTAGATATTTTTTTAATGTCACCTTTGCACCATTTATAACATTTCTTGTATATTTTAAAATACACTCTCTCCTCACTT